TCCATTGTCTCTTGAGACAGACAGATGCCAACAACAAAAAATCCATTGAAATCAATGAAAATCACTGACTGCTACAACTCCCTTTATAGTTTTAGATGTTTAGTTTTATATATAGTTTTGATTTTAATAGCTTATGAAGTTCTCTATATTATTCAGTAATGTTGGGGGGAGCCAATCATTAGTTAAATATAAAACAAATATCTTCTTTAGCACAAATTAACTCCCCAGTCATTAGAGCTATGGGGACATACGTACTCTGAGTCAATAAAGTTGACTCTGAGAATGAACTCTGAAAAAGCACTGCCAGAAGTTAGGCTGAGATTTCATTTTTAAAAAGTTTTGTTTTCTGTACTAACCTATATACCTTTAGTTACAGTGTATTTTTCTATAATTATCATGTTCCATCAAGACAAAGTTTCCCTCAGACATCAGCTTTTGTTCATCAGTAATATTATATGATATAATTATCATAGAAAATTTGTCAAGTGATATCTCTTACTGGACCAGCTTTCTTAGTGGAATCATGATTCTTGCATCTAAAACAAGAGAGACTGGATATATTGATAGCAGTAGCCCACCTCAAACGTATGTCTGAACATGCAAAGGTTAGAACTGTGCAGATGAAAGGGCACTAGGGATGATGGAGAAATTTGGTTCAGTTCACATTTAAAGGTGAACCGACCTAATTCACACTTTCTGAAAAAATATGGGAGCCGAAACACAGACTTCCTTCAAAATCCACATGTCTCTGAAACAGCAAATTAGGTAGGTATGCAAGGAGGTTAGGTGGTGCTTTGTCAATCAAACGTTATCCCACACATTAAACTGCATTTCCCTATCACTTTTCTTATTGCAAAAAGTCATTGGGGAAGCAGGTTTGCTGGGCAAATTTAACTGTGCAACCTGGATTTGCTGGTATGTGTATGAATCCCACCTGAAAATAGTGTCCGTCTGGAAGTACCCCAAGAGGTCAGCTGAAGAGGTCAGCATCATTTTGCTGTTCGATGTGCGGAGGAAATACCAGTCACCTATTTTGCTTAGCACATCTTTACCTAAACATATAGAAAGCAAAATGAAACACTGACTATAAACCACATGAAAACCTGACGATTAAAAAATGTACCAATAAACAGAACAAAGTGTTATAATGACCAAATGTTAAGGGAGAAATCAAAGATGTGCTCTTCAAATAAAATGTTGGTTTGTAATTTTTTAAAAAAGGAACTTCAACAGGTGTACAAGAAACATAATGTATGTCGAAACAATTTGAAACCCCTATTTGAGTCAAGTAATTAAATGATGGAAAATATGGGCTGCTTATGATATTGCTGTTGTCTTTCAAAAAAATAATTGTCAGATTGAGAAATTATTTTGGGATACAAAATATATGAACTGTGTTGTTAACAAATCAGACTACAGATCCATTAAGTTTGGTAAAGCCTGAGAGGGGAGTTCTCCAGTTTCTCAGGCACAGGCATGCTAACGGGGATCCTTTGACTGGAGATGCTGCAGAATTGACATAGGACCTTCTGCATGAAAAGCATTGCTCTCTCCCTGAGTGATGGGCTCTCCTACCAGCAGCAGCCCTACCATTAGGCAGAGTGAGGTGGCTGCCTCGGGCAGCTGATTTGAAGAAGAAGAAGAAGAAGAAGAAGAAGAAGAAGAGGAGGAGGAGGAGGAGTTTGGATTTGATATCCCACTTTATCACTACCCGAAGGAGTCTCAAAGCGGCTAACATTCTCCTTTCCCTTCCTCCCCACTCCAAACACTCTGTGAGGTGAGTGGGGCTGAGAGACTTCAAGTGTGACTAGCCCAAGGTCACCCAGCAGCTGCATGTGGAGGAGCGGGGAAGCGAACCCAGTTCACCAGATTACGAGTCTACTGCTCTTAACCACTACACCACACTGGCTCTACACAACATTTGGGGTGTCTTAAAAGGGCAGCAAATTCTTAGTTACATTACAGTGGTACCTCTGATTATGAACTTAATTCGTTCTGGATGTCCGTTCTTATCCTGAAACCATTCTTAACATGAGGCGTGCTTTCGCTAATGGGGACTCCTGCTGCATGTGCGCCTCTGGTGCGAAACTTCCATTCGCATCCTGGGGCAAAGTTGGCTTCCAGGAGCACCTACTTCCGGGTTAGCGGAGCTCGTTACCCGAAGTGTTCGCAAGGAGGACGGTGCGTAACCAGAGGTATAACTGTATTATTGTTGTTGCACTTTTCCCTGGCAGAGGCGCATGTGGGATTTGCTGTATATACCCCCCCACACCAGCTGTGGCACCATGTGGCCAGCCAGAAAGGTGACCATTCCCATGCAAGTATCTCTGGAGACACAGTGGTGCCTGCCGTCTTTCTCCATTCCCTGGGTGCCCACCCCCATCCCCCGCCAACCAGCGAGGTTGGCTGTTCACCAAACACTTTTGGGCCAACCCACTGGGATCGAATAAAGACGCACGCAGGTTCTTACAAACAAACTACACCTGGATCTAGACACATCAAAGAAGCGTTTCAGTTTAAAGCGTTGTACATTTAAACAGGGAAAACAGGGAGAGAGAAACGGGACTCCATGACGCCATCTGCTGGCACAATGGCCTTGGCCCAGTATACCTGAAGGAGCGTCTCCACCCCCATCGTTCAGCCCGGACACTGAGGTCCAGCTCCGAGGGCCTTCTGGTGGCTCCCTCACTGTGAGAAGCAAAGCTACAGGGAAGCGGGCAGAGGGCCTTCTCAGTAGTGGTGCCCGTCCTGTGGAACGCCCTACCGTCAGATGTCAAGGAAATAAACAACTATATGACTTTTAGAAGACATCTGAAGGCAGTCCTGTTTAGGGAAGTTTTTAATGTTTGATGTTTTATCGTGCTTTTAATATTCTGTTGGGAGCTGCCTAGAGTGGCTGGGGAGGCCCAGTCAGATGGACAGGGTAATAATAATAATAATAATAATAATAATAATAAAATGTATATCACACATACAACACATATAAATCCCTTTTTCTTTACCAGTCTAGCAGTCAATAAACAATCAACAGCCTACCTGTCTGAGGTCCTTCCACTTTTATACGTATTAAAACCCTTCACCTATGAGAATCTTGCATTTGTGGAGTTTGACTGTAATAACATCCCACAGCTACTCATGTCTGTCACATTTTACCCCAGGCTGGCTATTTGTTACCTCTTCTTTCACTTATTGTATGCCCCCCCTTTTTTTTTTTGGTAGCTCTTAGTTTGTTTTTAAACTGAATGCTAATTTTGACTATTAAACTGGAATTCCTTACAAGGGCAAAGGCATACAATGTAGTCTTTCTGAATAGCCTTGTGTGTTCAATCACACAGTATATTAAAGTGAGACACGGAGGTCTTGTTATCTCAATCAATGCCATTGTCTCTGTAGAATTATGTGCTGATTTCTGAAGGTGATTTGGAAGCCAACCTTACATAACAGTGTGATACTACAATTTGTCTTTGTGTCAGTCTTGATGTAGGGAGGTGGGAACAGCTTAAGCACATTTGCCTATGGTCCTACCTGAAGATATAGCCAGGCTCATATTACAAGGAATTCAGCTGTATAAATACGCCATGCCATCTGTGTATGGCAGGGGAATTGAGCCGGTAGAAGCCTAAGACCTGTGTCAGTGTTCTCACAGAAGGACTGTTTATGAACAGATGTTATGTGGTGTTTTTCACAGAAAATGGACTCTGGAGAGAGAAAATGTCTATCAATTACTGAGGTATTATGTATAACAGCAATTTTTAACCTTGAGAATGATGCTTTAAAGTTCTAGGCAAAAAAAAAAAAAAGAGCCCTCAAAGACTGCGGCCACTTCCTTTGTGTAACGTACTTCTGTGGCTTTGTATATTATGTTAAACTTAAAATATTTCATCCTGTTACATAAAGAATTTAATCCGACAGGATGTACAGTACGCCACATAGTCCATTAACCTCTCCAAACTTTTAAGAAGTTTAATATGTATAGAACTAGTCTCTGCAATAAACCTAAGAGATAAACTCTGGATTTTGGATATATGTACCTGAATAAATTAAAGGTCTTATACCCTTACAGGAAGGAAGGAAGACACATGAAATTATTATTATTATTATTATTATTATTATTATTATTATTATTGCAACTATAACAGCATACTTGGCTGTGTATATAGTGTTCAGAGCACATACAGCTATACACTCTTACACTTGTATACAATAAAGTTGTCTCATTAGTCAAAGGGCTTCTGCTTGCTCAATGAGACTTCCTTTTCTTTTTCTTTCCCTGTGCAACCTTTCCCAAATATCTGTTCCAAAGGTTTGGTGGAACGCTTGGAATAGATGGGGGCATATGAAGATGAGAGGGAGTGGAAGTCCCATTGGACTGGCAGAAGGCATTGCACCAACAGGACAACTCTACTGGCTACAACTTTTCAATTATATGTATACAGGGAAGCCTGCTTTTTTGCAGGGTCCCCAATCTCGATGAGCGAGTCTGTCCAAGCACAAATTGAATGCATTCAGGGTTGTGTTCAATGTGGTGCTAAGGAAATCCTTGCACAAGTGGAACGACTTCTGCTTGCGTGGTGGGACTGTCCCCTTTGTCCTGCTCCTGTACATCCCCTAAAAGAATTCTGGGGGTTCCTCCAACTCTCAGGAACAGAATTAGGGAGAGTGTGGGGGACGAGAGCAGGGGAAGTCCTTTTAGCAGTGCAAGGATGTAGTTGAATATATGGCCGCTGCTTCTCTGCTGGCTTTTGCAATTTTTTAAATGCAACAACATAGCCCCATCTCTTTAAAGTACAGTAGTAGACATTGTTTCCATCACTGCATAAAATCATGCTTAGACACAAGGACATTTGTGACAAAGCGGCAGACACTTTTCATTCTCATCTCAACAAACCGGCTAAACCAGTTCAGTAAGGAAAGGAATAATCCTGACATTAAACTGCTGGGACCATAAGGATGTTCCATACAAAGTATAGTGTTTCTCACAGAAGACAATAGGAGCATTGGAAGCTCAGTTCGTAGAGCATGAGACTCTTAATCTCAGGGTTGTGGGTTCGAGCCCCACATTGGACAAAACATTCCGGCATTGCAAGGGGTTGGACTAGATGACCCTCGTGGTCCCTTCCAACTCTATGATTCTATGGTTCTGTGACTTATACTGAGCCAGCCTACCGGTCCATCTACACAGACCAGCAGCAGCTCTCCAGGGATAGACAGAGAGAATGGAAAAGGTATAAGGAGAAGCCCAAATGCAATCTTTGTCACCTGCATTGTAAAATGAAGCTTAAAATGCAGTATTCTGCATAATAATTCCGGGGGGGGGGGACTTATTGGCAGGATTTAACAAACATAAAATCAAATTACAAATTACAGTTGGTGGGGAAGGGAACGAAACCACAAGCAAACAAATGCGAAACAGAGCAAAAGAAGCGACACATTTGTACATGCCTAATATGTATATCATATAGATGCAACAATATGTTTATGGATGTTGTTGCACCTGAAAACTTCACCTGACCTATAAAGCGACTGCATAATATGCAGGGTTTCACCCTCAGATGGATACAGCAAGCCTGGTTTCATGCACAAGGCTCTTTGCTGTTTTCATAACCAGCAAAGGTGAAGCTCCACTCAGATACACAAAGTTGCTTTGTTGGATTTCTGGACAGATAACACACACACACACACATTGCTCTCACTATTTGTTCCATAAATTCTTGGGTGTGTTTTTTTTCCTTGTTGACAGCAGTTGTATGTATAAATGTACTTCTCTTTATCAGCTAAATGCTAATGTTTTATTTATGTGCACCAAAGAGAGAGAAAATAACTGAATTGATGTTTACCTAACAGGCTGCAAAAAAAACCACACAAAAAACAGCCCACGTGCAGTAATGTAATAGTAGAGTTCATAAGTATCCTGGCTTATAATTTTTGGTGTCAACATTGGAGTTGAAGAAAGAGCTTATGCAGACATTGCACGTATACAAGTGCAGTTTAGATCTGCATCTATAAAAATAACATCTGTTTAAGCATACATTACATTTAAAAATAACTGTACAGTGATCAGCTGGTTAAGTACAGTTAACCAGATGTCGTTTTAAAGCGCCAGATGGAACAATGAAACTAAGATTGAAAATTAAAAAATACTGTGAAAGGTCAAATCAATTAAGCAACCTGTTTTGTTGGCATGTAACAGTTAAAAGTAAGTTTAAGCTACTCAAGGAGTGAGCTGTATGAAGATGAAGCAGTTAATTTTAACTTGTTATTTGGAAACGATAAAGATGAAATGTTAGTTGGTTGTAACATTTAGGATTGCCTGAGGAGCCCTTCCCCCACCCCCATGTGAAACATAATCAAAACATACACTTTTTTAAAATTTCAGTGTTTGGTAAATGTAAACAACATTGACAACCAAATTTGCACTTGAGAGAGCATCTATATTAAATCTTTACTCCTGCATTCTTCTTACCCGTGCTGATTAGAGGGGTTTAAAAAAAAAGAAAAGAAAAAAGATAAGTAGTACTGCAAATATCACACATACAAAACCATTAATTGAAAATACAGAGCCTTGAGCTCAGACCTTTTCTTCTTAATTGTTTGAGGATGGGATTTTTTTTTTCATAGGGAATGTAAGAGGCTGTCTGTTAAAATGGTGCAGATTTGAGTGGCACATACACTAACAGATTGATCAGTCATTATAGGCTCATCCAGGTGCTAAAGTTTAAGCCCAGTTCAGACACTTATCAATTCAGCAGTCAGTTCTGGGCCCAGTTTAAAGTGGTGGTCTTGACTTTTAAAGTCCTTCAGGTCTCGAAGTCAGGTACTTGAAGGATCAACTGTCTCTATATAGCCCTGCCAGCACTTAGGATCATTGACATAGGTTCTTCCCCATGATCCCATGCCATCTGAGATTTGGTGGGTGGTTTTTTAACATCTGTTTTACTAAGATTGCTTTGATGAGCACAGGACTGACGTATTTGACTCTGACATTTTTAAAAGAACTTTGTTGTTGTTTAGTCGTTGTCCGACTCTTCGTGACCCCATGGACCAGAGCACGCCAGGCACTCCTGTATTCCACTGCCTCCCGCAGTTTGGTCAAACTCATGCTGGTAGCTTCAAGAACACTATCCAACCATCTCATCCTCTGTCGTCCCCTTCTCCTTGTGCTCTCCATCTTTCCCAGCATCAGGGTCTTTTCCAGGGAGTCTTCTCTTCTCATGAGGCCAAAGTATTGGAGTCTCAACTTCAGGATTTGTCCTTCCAGTGAGCACTCCGGGCTGATTTCCTTAAGAATGGATAGGTTTGATCTTCTTGCAGTCCATGGGACTCTCAAGAGTCTCTTCCAGCACCATAATTCAAAAGTATCAATTCTTCAGCGATCAGCCTTCTTTATGGTCCAGCTCTCACTTCCATACATCACTACTGGGAAAACCATAGCTTTCTGGTTACATTACAAGTGTTATTGCATTCCTGCTAATGTTTTCATCTGTTTACAGTGGTCTCCAATATAAATTATACATTTTTTCCATTCTTTATTGAAGTGTTGGTCTTCTTGGTTTCTGAGCTTCCCGGTCAATTTTGCCATTTTGGCATAGTCCAAGAGTTTAATTTGCCATTCTTTTCTGGTAGGGACTATCTTCTTTCCATCTCTGAGCTAATAGCATCTGTGCTGCTGTTGTCACATACAGTGGTGCCCCGCAAGACGAATGCCTCGCAAGGCGAAAAACTCGCTAGACGAAAGAGTTTTCCGTTTTTTGAGTCGTTCCGCAAGACGAATTTCCCCATGGGCTTGCTTCGCAAGACGAAACGTCTTGCGAGTTCTTGCGAATTTGTTTCCTTTTTCTTAAAGCCGCTAAGCCGTTAATAGCCGCTAAGCCGTTAACAGCCGCTAAGTCGCTAAGCCGCTAATAGCCGTGCTTCGCAAGACGAAAAAACCGCAAGACGAAGAGACTCGCGGAACGGATTAATTTTGTCTTGTGAGGCACCACTGTACATAAAAAGTCTTTCCTGCTCCCTCGCCCACTGGATCAAACGATTCACTCCGAAGTGCTCCACCACTCAGCTTAAAAATGTCACAAATTTCCTTTTTTTCTGAGTCCTGCTCTTGAGCATCCCTTCTTTCCAGGGTGAGATTGAAGCAGCAAACCTACGTCTCACACAGAAAGCAAAATGGCTGTGAAGGCCCAGCAGAGGCCCATTCCCTACTTATATGAATCATATTTTTCCCCTGCAATAAAATTTTCAGATGCACCAGTGTGTACATCATCTGGCATATTGAGAGAACTCAAATGGCTCATATTTACTTCATGCCAGGGAGCCATATAAACAAGAGAGCAGCAGCTGAGGCAGGCCTCTTGGAGTTCACGTTGGAAGGTTACCAAGTGACCTGGAGGCTTGTGGTCATAGAGGAGAGAATAATCAGACTGAAGCCGGAGGTTAACAGTTGGCTAAGTACTTTCTTTTCCTTCTTTTGGTCTAAATAAAATGATGAGAATAACTTTTCAAATTACCGTATTTTTCCGTGTATGACGCCCCCTATTTTGGGGGGACTCTAATTTAAGAAAATAGGAAGGGGATTGCCGAGGGTTGTTGAGCTTTCTAGGGGGGCTAGCCGAAAATCGCTCACCCACACGCATTGCAAAATCCACCTCTCATCTGTCCCCTCGCTGGCAGGAGCTGCCAATCACCTGGCCAATTGCCGCAGTGTCAGCCAATCAACACCAGCCCTTGATGTAGCAACCAATAAAACGCCCAATAGCTATTGACAGCCACGGCAGCAACCAATCAAATGTCCACCCTATGCACTATCCATGCATAAGACGACCCCCACTTTTTAGCATAATTTCTAAGAAAACAACCTAGTCCTATACGTGGAAAAGTACAGTAAAATCTATGTGCTGCATTTCTGATGTACAGTGGTCCCCGCAAGACGAATGCCTCGCAAGACGGAAAACCCGCTAGACGAAAGGGTTTTCCGTTTTCAATGCGCTTCGCAGGACGAATTTCCCTATGGGCTTGCTTCACAAGACGAAAATGTCTTGTGAGTCTTGATATATTTTTTTCGCTCCCCCCCCTTTTTCTAAGCCGCTAAGCCTTTAATAGCCTTTTAGCAGCTAATCCGCTAAGCCTTTAATAGCCGCTAAACCGCTAATAGCGCTAATCCGCTAAGCCGCTAATAGGGTTGCTTCGCAAGACGAAAAAACCGCTAGACGAAGATACTTGCGGAACGGATTAATTTCGTCTTGCGAGGCACCACTGTATGCTGCTTCCTTACCTATGCAGAGCAGCGACTGAAGCATGAGTCCACATTAGGGGTTTGTAGAGCCAAGTGTGGGTGCGGTTAACAGTTTAATCTTGCCTGAGTATGGCTGAGACATCATATTTTTTCAAATGAATTTGAATCCAACTAAGGACTCGGCTACACTGGTAAAGAAAAAGTGCTTTATATGTGTTACAACACTGTGACACCACATGGCTCTGTGGAGTCCAGTTTTTCACCAGCGTGATTTCCCTTTATGAAGTTTAGAACATGTTTTCCTGAAACACTTTTTTGATGTGTCTAGATCCAGCCTAAGTGTGCATTCAGATGTGGGGATTACTGCATTAGTTTTGCTAGCTGTTAACACTAGAGTTCTGTCCTGGTTTCTAATGTTCCTGCAGTCTACACTGCATTTACCTGTCGGATTGTGGAACTGAGGCTTTTTGACTGATATACTGCTATGTCACACTAAATTTCATTCACAACAGTGGGCGTGGTGTGACACAACAGTGAGCATCGCGGGACACTCCCTCCCTTTATGCACATGCACACTTCCCTTCCACCATGATGCACCCATGAAAACAGCAGGAAAGAATTGTGCACAATAATTCCTCACTAAATTTTGTCATGTGAGGAGCACCAGAGTGATCCATCAAAACCACTGAAAATTAACGGTGCAAAACTCCTGTGATTTTCCAGGTCCACAGGGTGGCAAATGGGGTTTTGTTCTGGATGCAATCAACACCGAAATGAGTGCTAAATTTCTGCTATATTCAAGTATGTGTCGAAACTAGCCTACTGCACATATCTAAAA